AAATTATTATGCTCTTACTAATCAGTTACCAATCAGAAGTTGTTCTGGGGCCCTAACTACACAGGTGGAGAACTGTAGTTATGAATGTTGTTGACTCTTAGTGTGTTATTCAAAAATAAAAATTGATATATAAGGGACTGGGACTGGGAAAGATTGGAAAGATGATAGAAGGGATGATCATATTAATCATACTACTCATATTCTTGTTGATTAAAACCCCTTTGTACAACTACATAAAATAAAAATAAACAAACATAAACAATACAAACCAAGTGCCAGTGGCTCACACCTATAATCCTAGCTACTGAGGAGGCTGCGATCTGAGGATGGCAGCTCAAAGCCAGCCCAGGCAGGAAAGGCCCTGAGGCTCTTATCTCCAATAAATTACTCAGAGAAAGCTGGAAGTGGCTCTGTGGCTCAAGTGGTAGAGTGCTAGCCTCGAGCACAAGAGGCTCAGGGACAGCACCCAGGCCCTGAGTTCAAGCCCCAAGATGGGCAAAAATAAAAGAAAGCAACACAGTCTCCCTTCTTGGCTACGAGAGTATCTCAAGCATCTGATTATTTAATAATTGAGCAAAATTAATCATTTTATAGAGCTAACAAAATACAGTGAAACCTCCATTAGCAAATTGACAGCAAAATACTAAAACTGAAGTGGAAACCCCACAGACATTAGAATTGTTAAAGATAGTAAGAGATAGGACCCAGAAGAGATCATCCAGGACATACTCAAGAAAATATTACTTGGAAAAAAGAAGATGCAGTCATGTGTGGTGGCACACACCTGTAATCCCAGCCACTGGATGGCAAAGAGTAGGAGGATGGAGGTGTGAGGTCAGCTTGGGCAAAAAGAGACTTTATTCTAACTACTAACCCAGGCATGGTGATATCAACTTGTAAACACTATGCGGGAAGCACAGGTGGAGGATGACAGTCAGAGGCTAGCCCTAGCAATAATCTGAGACATTACAAGAAAAATGAAAGAGAAAAAGAGGCTGAAGGCATAATTGAAGTGGTAGAGCATCTGAGTTCAAAAACCTATTAGCACGGTGGATTGGGGGGGGAGGGAGGGCAGGAAGGAAGCAAGGAAGAAAGGAAGGAAATTTTCATTTTACTGAACCAATAAAAACATAATTCCCAACTAAAATAATCTAAAGAAAAGACTGTCTTTTCATGGCTTTTAGACGTTAAAATACTTTGGCTTGTTTTAGTTACTTATGTAACACAGACCAACAAACTAGTAAAAATAATGTAACTCTGAAGAGGTTGGGGGGGGGGCGGGAGAGGGATGTTGAAGGTTTACTCAAGTAAACCTTGTATGGAAACTAGCATTGATCTGTTTGATTTTAAAACTACATATCAGAAATACTAAGAGCTTTTCACCATGGGAATTCTTATAGAAAAGTTAAATACTAGCACAAGCCTGGAAACAGGTGTAGTTCTTAGCAACTTTTTTTTTCTTTGCCTCTCAGAAAACCTGGTGCAAGTGTTTAAATGCATAAGAATCATGTACACTTGAGTTGGCAGTAATAGCTCATCTAGATGCAGAACTTGCAACAATTTTATTTGCTAGTTTATGCTTGCCACCTTAGAGAAAATGCTAAGATTTAGGCTAAAGGTAACTATAGCAGAGGAAGACTCAAAACCCCATGCCACACCTATAGTTTTCAGAAAGGTTGTCTCCATCACCAATCCTAGGTGTAATTAATTTGTTCTTTGGATATGACACTGATATGCTTTCTACCTCATTTGACAAAATACCAACAGAAAATAAGAATAGAACCGACTCGAATGTTGCATCCAAATCGATTTGGGAACTAATGCATGGAAATGTTTTAACAAGAATAGTTGGCATTCTACAATAGAAGTCCAGACACTTCTCCATTTTCCTTCCCTAGATTATCCACATACTGGGCTTTGTTGCTTTAGTTGGTGTCTTAGAAATGCCATCTGCTTCTCTATGTCTCACTGCCCCCCCGCCAGCACCCAGGCTATTTGCATAGGGAGGGGAAAGTTGCTTCAAACAGAAACAAGCAAACAAACCATCCAGGTATCCTCACAGGTAGCAACACAAAACATCTGACCGATGGGAAGGAGACTTGGTGGCACAGTTGAGAAGAACAACATTAACTGAATGTTTTTGTTTGCATCCTCCCCCCCAAAAAAGTGGCCCCATGCACGTATGAGTTATGAAGTTAGATGTTCCTCTTTATGGCCAGCTTTGTAAGTTCTAACAACACGATGATGGGACATAGGTCTCACGGTTTATGGAAGACTCACCCTGCAAGTGTCAACAGCCAGCCAGCCCTGCTTACAATTCCATGCATTCAGTCCTGCATGAATACACACAAATCCCTAACCACGAGGACACACACACATACACACATACACACACATATACATAGTTAATATGTGAACATCTGGACAATTAAAAAGACCTCATGCATTTGCCACAACAAAGTGCCTATGTATCGTGACGCGTACCACGCTGAGAGGTTAACTAGCAGTGGTTTCCCTACGTCTCTGAAATGAGTTATTCCTCTTTTTCCCTTAACCTTTGTTTCCGAGCTCTACTTTCTGGCATGTAACTTTTGCAATCAGAAAACTACCAAATGCACACACAGATCGCCTAAGAGTGTCTGATTCTAAAGCAACAGTTGGGTGCCCGGAGGTGAACTGAGGCACCCACCCTCGGGGGTCCGGGGCTGGGCAGGGGTCGGCCGCGGGGCGGCCCCACCGAGCGCGAAGAGCCTCGGTTCTGGGGCCTTTGCCAACCCGGGAGACAAACTTGCTTCAAACTTGGCGGAGCCCTTCTGCAGCCCGGGGCCCGCGACCCCACCCTCCGCGGGGCGCCTCCGGGTCCCCGGGACCCCCCCACACCCGCCGTCCCTTGGGGGGGAGGGTGGATGGGGGGAGCCTCAGTCCCCCAAATCGGAGCGGCACACCCCACCTCCACTCTCCCTTCCGCTCCTCCGGCGCGCGGCGGGCTGGACGGGCCGGAGGGCGCGGGCCACCCTTCCACGCAGCCTCCCCGCCTTCCCGGCCCCGTGACCTTGGGCCACGCGAGCCTCAGTTTCCCTCCCCATCCGATGAGGTGGGGGAGGGCTGCGCGGCCCGGATCGCCCCTCCCCCCTGCGGCCGGCCCCCCCAGAACGTGCTCCCCTCGCCCTCCCGCCCCCCCCCGGCCCCCCGGTACCTGGCAGCCGCTGTCTGGGGGCAGGTTTTTCACCAGGATTTTCCTGCGGTTGCTCAGTTCCCGCCGCATCCGCTGCAGCCGCGCGGCCACCTCGTCGGGGTGCAGCGCGGGGGGCGTCTCGGAGGAAGAGCCCGACCCCAGCCCCGCCACGCC